ATAAAAGAAAAATAAATTAAAAGGGCCCTTGCAGTAGCCCTCAGCGATCGATATCAGCGATAAACACGGACATTAAATATCTCAAGTTGTGATTTTTTTTAATTCGTATTTTTTATCTCCAATTCATTGTGGAAGGGGCAGCCCATGTGGTAAATCGTGGATAATCAATTCTGTACAGTTTGAATTGAAATAATTGATTGCGCAATTGAATTATCCATAACGAAAGAACTTTATCCCGATTTTTTGACGATTTATCGGGGGATTAATCGATTCACGAGGTCATCACGGTGTTTTATGATTTCTTACACTAATTTTTTTTTTTATAATTTATATTTTGGGTATCAGAAGTGAATACGTGAGGAGAATGGAAACGGAAATTTTTATGGATTTTATTTAAACGGAATTACTAATTTTTTTTTCAATCTTTATCAATTAGATGGAATTGAAAAATTATAGAATGGTATATAAATATTTCTATTAATTTCCTCGGGAAATATAATGATTGAAATGATATTAAAATTTCGGGAAAAATGAAAATATCATTTTCAGAATGAGAACGCGATAAATCCATGAAAGGTGGTGGTAATCTCGTAAATGGGGGATTTTTTTGAAGTTTAATTAACAATCTTTCGAATGAGCCCACAGTATATCACCTAAATACGAAATAAAGAGAGTAATTACTCCAGGGAGCGAAGAAAAAGTAAGCATTACTCTCCAAAATCCCCAATAAATGCATAACGCGAATTTTGAGACCTAGTGTACACCCGCATGCCCAAAAGCCCATCGAGGATAATTAAAAAAGTATAATCCCTCCACTTGAGAGATCCCCCCACACGTGTTTCTGGTCTTCCTCTTGAAGCCTAATGTTCCTGAAATAGCTGACGCGAAAAATATCCCAGTCGATGAATAAATAGAGCGAAATGAGAGGAATGATGGAGAAAAATACCACGAACTCTAGCCGACGGCGATGGGACATTTTTAAAAAATCAATTTTTGGAGGCGCCAGAAGATTTTTCAAAATGCATTTATAAATCTCTAGGGAACGGATTCGGTAGCCGTCGGTAATAACTTGAGGGAATTTTACGAGTTGGAGGTTAAATCGTGAACAGGGCTTGAGGCTCAAGTTAAGCTTGTGCTTCTTCAAACGTCGCAGTGAATTAGGTTTGAGAGGGATTTAGCCTGGTGAAGACGTGTTTACGTCCATGGATAGTCTACACATGTTTTTGGATGATTTTTCAACGAGCTTCGGCCATTTTTCCCATCGATTCCGCCATTTTAAGTGTCACCTTTCTCTAACTCATGCTCAGGCCCCGGTATCTGTGCATTATTTTTCGTGATTCGAGTCATACCGACGCAATCTTCCGGGTTATTTTCTTGAAATGGCTGTTACTGCTAGTTTAACACCGAAATTACGCGGATTTTGAAGGATTTTTGACACTTTTACGTCGTTTTGATGAGTTGACAGCGATTTTTGAGGTTATTTACACGTCAAGTCTGTCTAATTTATGGCTCATGCCCCGTTTACAGGGATTTGTTGACTGTTTTATGTGGTTAAAGTAATAATAATGTCTAGGAATATCTCTTGATGATTTTAAATCGCGTTTTGAGAGATTTCTGGGGTTTATCTGTAATTTTATTGGTTAATTTCTTGAGATGTCTGTCACATTCAGTCTAACACCGAAAATAGAGAGATCTCATGATTTTTACGACCTGTGACGAATGTGTCAGCCATTTGTAAGGTTAAGTCTCTGTAACTCATGATTGTCGGAGAAATTCGCACATATCCATGTATTTATGGACAGTTTTTATAGATTTGATGTTTTAAAATCCTTTAGACGCATCCCCAGAAATTTTCATAATTTCCCCTCAAGTCTTATTCATCCCTTGAATGGGGAATCCCCATTAAAAATCATGATTTTTATTTCCCACCGGCGGGAAAATTCCACCCGTATCAATTTTCCAAATCCGATGTCATTAAAAAATCATAAAAAATTAACCTACACCCCCAGAACTCGAAAATGTTCAGAATTATCTATTAAGGTCCAAAAAAGTCAACAAGAGTTTCACAACTCCCATTAAGACTTACAAAAAAAATTTCTGATCCCAGATATATTTACTAGCTACGCGAAAATTCAATCGACATTAACATATCCCGTCCGTCGAAATATTTCCATATTTATGCAGTCTATATATGTGTACTGGTGGCAAGTAAATAGAGTTGGTGAGAGATATTTTTTTTTGGACACTGATAAAATGGATATGTGACTCACGGATGAGGTGGTGGTGCATGAAAAACTACAGCAGCCGCAGCAGCCGCAGCGGCATGATGCTCCCAGGCCGCAGCCACAGCCGGATGATGAGAACCCGGTGGTGCATGATGGGGATGAAAAGGCGGTGGAGGTGGTCCATGATGTGGATGTGGATGAAATGCCGCATGAAATGCCGAATGTGGATGATGTGGCGGTGGTGGCGGTAAAAGTGAAAATGCCTCCTGGTGGTAGGCCACCTCCTTCTCCGGCATCGTTCACCCCTTTTTACAAATAAATAAACCACAACAAATGTCCTTCACTGATTATTAGTCCGGCACATCATCCACAGTCAATTGATTTTATCATCGTCTAGGTTAGAAATGCACAATCACGAGATTATTCACTATCACGTTTTAAATATTTATTTTGTTTTTGCACTTGGGGGGTGGGGGCACTCCTGGGGATGGGGTGCGAGGTGAGTCGTCGAGGTGACAAGTCAAATGGTGTTTATTTCTTTTTATTTATTTATTTTTTTTGGTGGGAAAACCGACCGGCGGATTGTGATGTTTATCCTCTGACGAGTATGGCGGTACTGAGAGGTTCGTTGGAGTGAAAGAGGAGAGGGGTTGTGTGGTGGAGCTAGGGCGTATGTCCCCCCTCCATGGGATCTGGAGAATTGTGGGCGTGCGACGGAGACGAGGCTCATGGGGTACACACTGACGGAAACAACGTGATTTCTGAGAGAGACGTTGTTATTGCTTCGGTGGGGGAGCGCAATGAGTGGGGGGAATTGAGGGGTAATGGTGGGAGGGAGAGAACGCGTGTCAGCTCGACAACTCAACTAGCACCCGTTTTGAATTGTTCACTCTGTTATACCTTTTGACCATTTATTTCAACATCTTCAAGACTATTTATTTATTTTTTATCTTTGAGGATTGGAGATTGTTTAATTATTATTCAATTATTTGTGGTTATTGTTTTTTTAATTTTGGTTGTCTAAGGGCCCGATAAATTGCCCGATGCATTTTGGGATTTATTTATAATGAGGGAATTAATAAAGTTATTGTTTTAATTCACCAGCATCTGTTTTAAATTGTGCACTGGTTGTATCACCTTTTGTCGATTTATTTTAATCTCTTCAGAGCGGTTTATTTATTTATTGTTAATTGAATTGATATTTTCATGTTGATAATAAAATTAATTCTTCACATTTCCACCACAATTTAATTATTATTATTATTTTTAAAGATGCGAGAGTGATCGGTAATTTTTTTGTCAAACTTTATGTGAATCGTAATTCATTTTTTTTTGTTATTAACCGAGTTGTTACTGTTATTTAGTTAATCACATGGAATTTTTTAAGAAACATGTCACTAAAATGTGAATATAACCATCAATTCACTTGACCGGGAGAAAAAATGCAGAGAAAAAACTTCTCCTGACAAATGAATTCACATGGCGTGAGTAAATATTTCTCCCAGTGTGACACTTCTGTATTAACACCATAAACATGATCACGTGACAAAAATAGTGACAAGAGACACCTGTCGTGACAGCGAGAGAAAAACTCACATGTCGAATCCAAGAATTCATTCGTCTCCAGGGTGTCATCAGGGTGCCCCTCAAGTCTTGAGATTAATCCCCTGACCCTAGACTGTGGAAGTGAGAGTACATCCTGATTAGCACGTGATCAGGCCAAGGACAATCAGGACAAGTTGTTGAATCCTGTGAAATTGAAAGACGAAGTGAAAATGAAAATGATGAAAAGCGTGGAGAAGATCTAGCTGAATGGCGACTTCCGGCCATGAGGGACAGTCTCCCCGGAAATTCTAAGGTTTCTTTTTCTATTATTGACGACACTAGGGTGTCACACATTTCTCACTCCCACATTTTGACCTCTGTCAGCGCCCCCCCGGATCCAACAAAGTCTCAACATGTGTAACACCCGAGCCACTTGTTGAACATGACCCTCCACAGGGACAAGTATCCGTAATAAACTATTGAATTACCAGAATTTGAATATTTCAACCTGGCCCCAAGCCCGCGATCACTTTATGGAGCCACTCCTGCGTCTGCAAAAAAAAAAAGACACATGTTTTTAATCCCCATAAACAATCCCGAGTAATTAAACAAAACAGCCACCATAAACGACAACAAATTTACGACAAATCCGGATATAAACGTGTTTTCCTCGTTTCTTCGTTTCATCAAAGAGAAAAAATAAAAATAAATGAAGACATCTCACACGCGCCTCCTCATGAGACTCCGGGTCTCATAATGACGGTTTTGGAATAACCAGGACGGGATGCATAGAGTCATTAACTAGAAACCCTGAGATGTGCCACACCCCCACCCATCCAAACTACATCCATCCATTTTCATCGACCTCTAGCATTTCTCACTTCTCGGCATCTACGTGAACACCCGACGCTCATTATTTTGTTGATTTTGGGTTGCTCTAGTCATTGGGATCCCCGGTTGGACCTAATTACCCTCGAACGAGACCCAGAGGAATATCAAAAAAGAAAAAGAAGAGGAACAAAACCAAAACAACTAGCGCAGCCACAATCTGGGGATTTGGTGGTGGGGTGGAGTGAGGGGGCGCGAAATGAGAGATTCGGAGTCTTAGAATGGCGTCCATTTAGCGCTGGCACACACCGGATGTTTCCTTCTAAATGGACCGCGCCCTAATTGGACGGCATCGCGAGACCTTTCGCTCGACGAGGGCGACGATCGCATTTTTTTTTTTCATCGTTATTTTATTTTTATTTTTTTTTTATGTCATGTCCGGAACTGGTTCTCAGTTGTACCGCGACACTGGAGTTATCGGAGGCATGAGAGTTGAGGCTGTATCACACGTTCTCGGCTTTGGAAATGGCAATTACTCTGTGCCCTTTATATTGTGGGATAGGTTACATTGGGATAGGTTAGGTTTGATGTAAGTGGAGACACTGAATTTTATCCTAGGATTAATACGTAATTCGATTTTTTCAATTTTAGGATTCGGTTGGAAAAAGAACCCTTGGGTTGTGCCAATGGATTTTGCAAAGAGGGATTGTTGTATGGATTTTTAGATTTGTTGAAAAATGGCGGGAAGATGAGGGTCGGTGGGAAACAATTATCGAGCCAATGAGGGGGCAGAATTGTGCGCAGTGAACGCAAATTGCGCGTGCGACAAAAAGTGGTCAGTCGTCCCCTTCCACTTGTGTAATTCCCCTTGTCAAATGGAAAGAAAAAAAGAGATAAGACACCCCATCACGTGCTCAAATTTATGTGTATGTGGTGAGGTGGGGGATTATAGATTGTTGAGTGGACAAACGCGGCAACATCGCGCTTGTTGCGCGAACCCCAGGGCAACCGGATGTTTCAGTTGCATGTGTGAGAGAGAGTTGAGGTTATGTCTGGTAGTGTGGAAGTACTGACGATAAAAGTAAAATACTTGTGCCCACTTTTTGGATCGATGACATCAATATTGTGGGATAAGATGTCTCATTCAGGGTTGGGCCCGTTGGAGGGGGTCAGAAGTGAGAGGAGCGAAAATTATTGGGAATTAATCTGAAGAAGACATTTTAGTTATGTATTTTTTTTTTCTCGGTCGTAAAATGAAGGAGCTAATTAACTCGCCTACACCGGGATACCTCCTCGCACCTATCCAGTTTTCATGGTAATAAAGTAGTTGATTCGACACTTTGTGGGGATACAAATATTTTGTGTTCATCAGGGAATGATAATTCGTGGTGAGAGTCTGCGGGATAAAGAAAAGGGTATTCTCTCGTGTTTCTCTTCTATTTTGCGGGGAAAAGGGGTGGGGATAGGGAGACCCCGGAGCCAATGACGTTGCAAGGGGGGGTGGGGGGGAATCGTGTTAACGTATGATCGAGTGGGGAGGGGTGAGGGGAAGGGGTAAGGCCGCTCTCACTAGATTGTTATCAATATTTTGATCGAATTTCCCCCCCTGCCCCCTTATAACCTCAAAAGTTGTGCAAAGCTACCGAAAACTTGAGAATTATTTAAAAAAAAAATAAATAATAAAAAAAAATTGCCTCGTGAAACCCGAGGCGTGGTTGGTTCCCAGAAAGTCGGTGCTTCAGAGAGGGCCCCACAATATATATACACGCATATAGCTGTTGGGACCCCGGAGGGTGGCACGAACAACATTTTCTCATCGCCCCCCGCAGTCCATGCTCATTAACTGTTCCCTCATCTCTCTCTTTCTCTCACTATCCTCTTTTTGCCTTATTTTTTCGTCTACCAAAAAGCCGCTGGCCATTGGCGTGACAGCCACCTTAAACCTCCCTTTCCCCCCTCTGTCCCCCCCTACGGGCCCCTCTTCAGGGCCCAGATGAACATGCGCGCCCTCATCGTCAACATCCCAACGGCTCTCATCAGGTAGGAAAGACAGCCGCGCCTGAGCCGACACGCAGGGCGCTATGAGGCCCCCGAGAGAAGTACAAGCCGCGTTTTTGGCCTCAGGGAAAGGACCCAAAAGTCAAAGATCCAGCCGAGACATTCCATCCTTATTCCTCCGCATCATCTTCCCCTTCCCCTATCGGCCATTCTTCAGACTGACGAGATAATTTGTTCCTCGTTTTCTCAGATTTTATTTTATTTTTTTTTTCTTTTTTTTAGATACGGCCCCTGGTTCGGGGCCCACAAAAGTCGGGAGAAATAGGTGATACACCGAGGGGGGGCCATATTTATGCGTTTTTCGGGGATGGCATTTCACTCGTCAGCCTCTTTCAGGTGACTAAACGTGGGAAAAAAAAATGAAACGGTTTGAGGTTAGCACTTGGTGGATTGAGATAATACTGACGTAATGACGACGTGGTATACGCCACACGTCAAACGAGACGTCGAGTGTCTCGTTAATCGTGAGGTCTGGGAGACACGCCTTCCCACTCATCGCACGTACAGCGAATAACTTAATATGTTGGTGGGAGAAAGAGGTTATGTGAGTGACGCTGTTGGACACGAGTTATCTTCGGTTGGGTCCGTCCAATTAAGAATAAAAATCAGCGAACGGTATCTGGGCCTCGGCCCCCCTCCCTGTATTTTTTGGTTTTATTTCGCAAATAGGAAATCGGTAAACAAGGGATTTGGGACTGATGCTGTGGAAAATATCGTTCGGTTAACGATATCGTTAACAGATGGAGAGGATGGAGAGGATGGAGAGGATGGAGAGGATGGAGAGGTAGGTGAGGAATGTCCGTGCGCGCGTCTGAGAAACATGCGAGTCGGCGATATAAAAAGGAAATGGGGAGAGTACGGTTGAGGGGGTGAGGAATGAGGGGAGGATTGGTTATAAGGCGGTGGGATGGTGGGGAAGGAGAAGAGGGTGGAGGTGGCGCGAGGCAGACAGGTTGGTCCGTTCGCCACCCGGAGGCGCCCCGAGGTGGCCGATGCAACCATACGCTGATCGCCGGGATGAAAGAGAGGTTAAGATGGCATGAGGGTGAGTGGAAACGAGAGGGAGAGCCAGAGAGAAAACATGGTGGCCTCGCCCCCACGCGAAGACCTCCGAAGACGAGAAACAACGAAGACGATCGGGCATCGTCGGACCATTTCGCTGATTCTGGCCTCTCGACTGTTCTGTTTCTTATTCTATCCTCACGAGAGTCGTCTTTTTTTTTCTTTCTCTCTCTTCCTTTTTCTTTTATTTTGTTTTGCTGGCCTTTTCGTATGGTACTTCTCTCTGGCTCCCGTCTTCGCGCGCACACTCACTCGTAACTAATGACTCAATTAATCCTGAGTTTTCAGTCTAGTACTGGGGTGTGGTTGAGGTTATGCGATTTTTTGAATTCAGGGGAATCCCGGGGGTTTTGGGTGGGGGAAATAGGATGGATTTGGGACGGGATTGGGCCAATACTGCTGGACTTTGAGGATTTGCGGTGGAAAGACTAATGTATGAATAATTAAACATACGGATCGTTGTAGTCAGGAAATTTGAGAGTCAATTTTGACGATTTATGAGGGGATTGAAGCGAGTTTTTTTTTCTTTTATTTTGGCGGGTTTCGATGGTATTTCCGCAGGAGTGGGCCGGAGTTCGGGGGGGTTGGTGGGCCCATTGGATAGAGCCGCGCGTGGTCTTGGGGACCTCTAATCATACCGGGCAGCGCCGACAGACTGAAAGGGGATAGAGACGTTCTATTGCCTGATTGCCCCATCGTTGTATGGGAGGCATTTTGGTGTTAGCGAGAGTTCAATTGAGCGGAATAAGAGGATCGTAAAATTTTTTTCTCAGAGTATTAAGAGTTTCTCGGCGAATGATGAACTAGAAAGTGAAGGGAATTTTGTTGGATAAGAAAAATTGAAAAATTTTCAAGAAAAACACAAAAAAATCGGGGTCATAGGCCACTATTTCGAGTTGTAAATGAGGAATTAATGGATTATCTTTTTCTAGAAATTTCGCGGAAAAATTGATGAATGATTGACATTGGAAACCATGAGATTGAGTTGATACTTTGTCACCTTTCATGGCATTAGCCCCGGAGATAATCTACAATTTAGGGATTTTTCAGTAAATTAGTCACGCGTAACTGTCAACTTTCTAGGAAGGATACCCAGGAAAAATCATTTTTTGAAAACACGGCAGGTGAGCGGCGTGAAAAGGCCTCGTTCTTCCATAATCACAGCCACCGTGTTGCTGTCTTTGTTTCGTGGCAGTTGAAAAGTCGAAATTTCATGCGGTCCCCCCAGGAAGTTATAAACTTGTAATGGGCTCGTGGCTCCGGGACACTCGACCTCAGTTTTCACTCTGGGTGACGAACCCTCGCACTGCGCTCACCCATTTATCGTCTGTCCGAGGGTCTGCGGGGGTTCTGGGGCTTCGGAAGGATTTTTGGATAAAAGGGAACGAGGGAGTGGACGAAAAATTCACAATTTGGGGGCTAGATTTTAAAAAATCGACTCTTTCCACTATTTTTAGGGAGAAAAATTGACCGACCACTTGGAAACATGTTAATCAAAATTTGATGATCCCCAATTTGATTCATTGATGATTATCAATGAAATAAATAAAATTTGTGAAGTAAATTATCTTCAAACGAGATTTTTAGAAATGTGATGAATAAAATGTGATGAATAAAATGAATAAAATATTCGTAAATGTCGGAATAAACAAATTGAAAAAACATCAGGATTTCTGAGAAATAAAATTTGTGACTGAAATTAAAAAAAAAAATTCTAGGATCAAATGGGACTTGAGTGGAAGCTGGGGGGTTAAGCTAAGAATTTACCCAAGATTGAAGCAAAAGTACTGAAAAAGTTGTCTAAAATGTGAAAACGGGTGAAATTTTAAAGTCTGGGGTGACGGTGAATTACAAGACTACCTGCCGATGCCAACTTTTGACTCTTTCGACTTTGGAACTTGACTGGATGCAGAAAAAGGTACGAAATAGCACATGAGAAGACTCCGGGTGCCGGTGTTTCGAGCCCCAGCGTATCTTATCTAAACTTACCATCGGCACGATCCCTCACTGTGGTCTCGACTCGCTTTTTCTCTTCAGATGACTCTCCAATGCACTCCTGATCCTCAGACCTGGGCTTCTGCTGCTGCTCAGTACCAGAGTTAAGTTCTTCTTCATTCTCCCTCTTTACCTTTTTCGCTCACAGCCTTTTGGCTACCCTTCGAGGTGTTGGGAGTTGTAGTTGGACGGCAAGTATTCTCCAGGTAACCGAGATCCAACAGATTATTCTCTGGAGGATATATACACACGCGTAAAGACGAATTAGTCACGATGAATAGCGTTTTACCTTCACTCTAGACAAAACATGTCAATGAAAATGCATTTTCAATATTATTATCTAAATTATGCTCTCCACTATTTCATTTTTACTCCAATACCTCTCGTTTAAATATTCAAAAATTGCATTTGTTTATTTATATTCTCTGGGGCAATATGGAAATTGATTTTAAACATTTTTGCATGTTTGAACAAATATATAAATAAATAGATAAATGAAGTATTTAGGAATTCACGTATTCCACAATAACTTGAAAGTGGATAATTAACTAAATATTATTGAAAAATAAAGATTCTACAGAAAATTTATGGCACTTTCTCGTTTTTTTTAAATCTCAATTCCTTTCACTTGAAATTTTTAGTGTTAATAATTTTCCAACAGTACATCCCACTGAGAAATAAAAATTTCTTTCCCGAATATATTACTTCTCACCAGTAAATCTGCAGAAATACTTCCATAACACATGCCAATGCCAAATATATTGTCTCACGGTTATACAATAAACAATAATACAATTAACAAAATTTTTTTCCCACTGTCCGCCAATTTAACCTAAAAAAATGTCCATATTACCCAGAACTTGTCTAGATAAATGATTTTTCAAATTGGAGTCACGAAAATGTGTCGATTAATTCCAATTGTCCGTGAATTTGAGGTGTTCTACAGCCATATATAACCAAAATAAAGTTTTATTCATATTTCTGGAGAACTTACACTGAGATTGACGTGAAAAAAATCCAAAGTCTCTACTAAACATGTAAAAACAATCCCAAAACTGTAGAGAAAATTAATGAAAAAGATGGCACCACCCAAAATGGCGTGATCTATGAAATAATGGCGGGACGACGAAAAAAAAAAAAAAATTTCCCACCAAAAATTTTCCAAAGGCTATACATGTACGTGGAACATCCCTCACGAAGAATTGTTGCTTAACAAATGAAAAACTATTGAAATAACACAGGTAAGATGATTTTTTTGCTGTTTACTCACAAATTTCTTCACGCTCGACATGAATAATGACGGCAGAACGCTTCAGCAAGTCATCGAGTCTTTGTTCCCTGTTTATTCTGCACCTCTCGAAGTCGAAAGAGAGAAAAAAAAAGATCAACTGAAAATTGATTCATCCCCGGTTCACTGCACGGCTGTTGCAATTTGTTTCTTTTGAGAAATACCCGCCTCTTTTCCCTCACTCCCTCTTTCACCGAGAATCACTTTTATCTGACCTTCCCTGAGCACCGTGGCTAATCGACGAAAAGGTAATGAAAGACTCTCCGGTATTTTTATGTCTTAATTAACTCAATCATTCGGCCACAATTAACGTTGATCCTAGTGTGGATAATTCGGGTGATTTCGCTTGGTTATATTCGATTAGCATTATTTCCCTGTGCAAGTACGAGAGAAAAATTCTGGAATTCACATCTCGACGTAAAAAATTCTCTAGGGATTTTCTTCAGAATGACCTCTACAAAAAAATTCCCTTCTGGTAAGAAAACTGTAAATCTAGACGAAATAGCAATCATTTACGTAAAAGACCTCCATTTTTTTCGTTCTATTGTCGTGATAATCATAATCATTCGATTAACATTATTTCCTTGTGCCAGTGCGAGAGAAAAATTGCGGAATTCATATCTTCTCGGTGTAAAAATCCTCTGGGGAATTGCCGCAAGATGAGCTCTGGAAAAAAATTCTCTTCTGGTAAGAAAACTATAAATCTAGACGAAATTACAATGATTTACGTAAAACACCTCAATTTTTTCTTTCTATTTTCGTGAGAATGATAATTATTGTTTAAATGCTGAAAATATTTTGTATTTCCGTGGGTAAATGATCCGTGTCTGTAATTCTCACTTTTTCTTCCGTTTTCGGGATAATTCGTCGCTTATTTTCGTATTGAAGGGTTATACTGGGTACTCATTTCAAAGCTCATTAAATAAACTTCAAAGAAATATGTAAATTATTAAATGAAAAAATGTTAATTCAAATAAAATCCGTAAAACCCTCCATTACCCCGCAAATACTCCGAGAATTCAATTATCATATCCACGATAAGAATTAAAAAAAAAATGCGTAATATCAATTTTTGTAATCACAATCAAACGATCACTCCCGCGACACAAATATCAGACAAAAATCGACCCAAAAATTATAATTCTCTTGAAATCCAAACAAAAACTTTCTAAACCCGCGATTCCGCCTCGAAATAATCCGAAGAGATCCATTCGGAAGCCACAAAGCCGACGAATTACCATAAAATTCCCATGTTCCTGGGCGAAAAATCGTGTAGCAATTAGTGTCTGAAAAATTTTTCCAAAAATCATCAATAATTGGTAAATTAGCATACCAACGGTGGCCGGGACAAAAGGCAAGATATTTCATCCCCTCGGTGGAAAAACAGGTAAAAGAAAAAATAAATGGAAGAAGAAAAGCCTGAGGAAGAGGCAGGAGAGACTGACAGAGGCAATCATCTCGTTTCTTGTAGCGTGGAGGCATCGACAAAGGATCGAAGTGGCGCTAATTACACCTGGGGCACCAACCGTAGTAACCCAACGGCCACTGTAGCGAATCGTTGCCGAGGTGGTGAGGGCACTGGGCACTGGTTCCACTCTCCAGACCAACGAGATTATCAGCTACTCGTGGGACCAGGATTCCACGTGATTTTAACGGTTTTCTCGGTTATATAAACAACACGAGTATAAACACACGTCGGGGTCACCGTGAAAATCGATACTTGTCATTTTCCTCGAGGTGACAATGACGAAATTATTGCGTGTCCATTTTTTATTGCTACTGGGTAAATAAACATCAGCTGTGACTGATGGGAGACCACCTGCTATTCAATCGTTTTCTAATCAATGTTTTGACGGTTGATCTGTCAATTTTTGAGGTTTTAAAAGAACTATTTTTTTCTTCAGAACAGAAAATTTAGTAATATCATTTTTTTAATTCAATTGAAACAAAATATTTTGACAATGGGGGAACAGGAACGTTTTTGATCGCTCATATCTTGCGATCGACAGAGCGAAATTCTACGATTCCTATTTCATTTTGAAGTTCTTTTTTTGAGCTTTGAAATGAAAAAAAAATCGTTCGATTCTGACCTGCGGTTTTCGAGTTATTGATCATTGAAAAAAATCTATTTTATCCCACTCTCCCCTAAGCAGTTCAATTTTCAAGAAGAAAACTAGAATTTCAATTTAATTAACGAAACAATTAATTCCTTGAACATTCAGATAATTACTTTTCTGAATTACCAATTGATTGACAATTTATAGATTTTTATAGCCATAAATTTTCCCCGAGGACTTCCCAATCCAATCGATTCGCAAAAAATCGTGCGACAAAAGATGAAGAGTTTTAATTAGAACGAAATAAAAAATCGTTATCAAGAGGTCATTTCCACGGAGCAAAGAATACCCCAGAAATTTTCAGTAAAAATAATTATTTCCCGAAGAATTTATTCATAACATCTATTACCAAAACATCATCAATTTCACCTTCATTCCCTCAATATTGACGAAGCAAAACTAATAGAAGACTCGAAAATCCTCAATGGAATTTCCCAGTTGATCACTAATTTGTCCTGTTCATCACGATCTCTATCAAATTTCAAGCTCAATATCTCACGACTCTCGCCCTGAAATTCCTCTTCTTAATTCCCCACTGCTATCTCTCGAAAAGAATTCCCAAAAATGAGGATAAATAGACAGTCCCATAATTCCACTTTATACCCAGGTGGACACCGACGACCCAAGATAACCAGTTTCCCACCTAAAATCAGTTTCTCACTTGAAAACACCGGAATCGGCTATTTTTTATCCTCTTTCCCAGAATTTAACCGTTGATTTGTCCCCAGTTGAATGATAGATTTTCCATCTCTCTTTCTTCCCGGGGGAGATAAATGAGGGATCGATATAAGAAGAGAATTATCTTGAGAATTAAATAAAGAGGGGGAGTTTTGAGGGCTGGGGTCGTTGGACAAGAATTACCTTCGGCTTGGATCTTAACGAGCTTTTTTCCCAGTGGTCATCTTGGAGGCTCACGCATGCTCTTCTTGTGGCTTTTACTGGCCTCGGTAAAATTGAGGGCTTCCACCTGCCCCAGCAACTCCATTCCCACTCGTGTACCTCTGGAATTTCCAGGGTACAAACGTCTTCATTCGTTTGAAATAGGCGCAGCTTTTGGAATTGACCTCTCAATTTTTATCCTCACTTTCTCGTAGTTATTTGTTTGAGTACACGGGATACAAATCTCATGGGGGAATTTGCACTGGGATGAATTCGGTGTGGCTAATCGATCTTTACGCGGTGGTCTCCATTGTCGGTTGGACATCAATGGCTCTTCCTTGCGGACCTTTTCAGACGGATAATAAACGCGCTTTTGGGGATTGTGTGAATTCAACGGGTGACAGTTTTCGCCCAGAGGTGTGGCCGCTTTGTAGAGAAATTCGTGTTCCTTTTGCAGGTTTAGATTTTGAGATTATCAGCTCATTTGAGGACCGCCAGCAATTTATAGGCAAATACTATACCCAAAAATAATCAATTTGTGCAGATTTTTTATGTAGGATTTAATGAAATGTATTTATTTATTTCCAGAAATTTGTATTAATTACGTTTCAGTAATTTCCAGAATTTTTCAATTGTTTGAAATTCATTGTCTCGTGGTTACGAACAAAATAATTGGAGACAGTAATCGCTAATAGAAAATTCTGAAAATTCACGAATTACCGGAATTAATACAAATTAATTTAATAATTAAAAAAAAAAGATATGAAAGGAGCCGCTCGCACAAAATTTTCAACATTGCAGTTTCAAAAATCCAAACGCTTCATTCTGGCATACATAAAAAAATCTCTTAAACCTCCAACCCGAGCCCTGAGAAAACAATTCCCCAGAAGAAGGTCAGGGCCCTAGTTTTTCACACTCCAGTCCGCGCCAATTACACTGTGAATAATTGAATGTTTGGCCGAACCTTCATCGTAATTACCCTCAAAAAAAAAAAAACAAATCCCCGAGTCATAATCTCCCTCTCATACCGAAGACATTCAGTCATCGAAACATTGAAAATAAAAAAATATTAAACCATCCAGTCCTCGTAATTTATTAATATTCCAGAGCTTTGAAGACTGCCTAATTTTCATAAAACCATATATCACTGGCGGCCCGACAAACCGAACTTACGTATTCCCAGATATTTTTATGTTATTTTTAATACGCACCTCGTGAATTGTGAATAATCTGAGATTTTTTTATTCCAGAGAAGATCGCGGTGAGAGATGTAGTCTTTTCCACGAAAATTACGTGTCCCTGGACCGATGTGCAGTCATCCGAGGCCCCCTGAAGGCTTCAAGAAGCTTGACTTCTTTAATGAAGACATCTTCGGCGGAAGAGGCGAAAAGAATAAAGAATGAGAAACGTGGAAAGGTATAGCCATTGGAATGATCCCTGGATGTTACAATGGTCCCAGGCCATTGTTGGCAGAGTTATAACATCCAACGACACCCATGGACATGGCATTCAGCAAATAATAGCGCGGTTGGTTTGGATTCTTTGTCCCAGTTTCTTACCCTCGAAAAATCGGTAAAATGAGAGAGGACGTGATCTATGAAGGCCTCTTTAGATGGATCTGCCTCGCCTCTTTATGCCTGGACCCATTTCCTCCCATGGAAATCCTCGGAACTTGGAACCAAATCCGTGCAAAAGGATTTCATGGAATATTTTCAATGTAGTTTGTTGATTTTTATTCATGATTCGTTTGTGTACTCCACGAGATTTAGGAAATAGTAAACATCCATGTCATGTTTGAATTTTTTTTTTTTTCAGGATTTCTGGTTGTGGATTTTTTATTCATCTCAATTAGACATCATCATCAGGAAATAGTGGAATCGTCTAGGGCTGATGGATTTCTTGATGACTTCTTCTCTGGAGATAAGACAGAGTAATTCGTGATGAGTGAGTAGTAGAAAATTCTTCGTTAAAGAATTTAGTAAGCGAAAATAGGAGATCAATTTAGGAGGTGTACATTAATTTATCACCAGTTGAATTTCACTTTTCAAGCTGGTGTTACTTTTTCATCTTCACCATCTCCCATAATCTCTCCTCCAATTTCGTGCCATTAGTCTGTGTATTTTTCTATCTTCTCTAATGAATATAATGAATGGTGTGATTTTCAACACAATTTCGTTCTCCGAACTTTCAAATTGGTAATAAAAGGTGGCAACTGGTGTATCTTACCAGGAGCTTTGGCCTCACTAGTCTGGAATCTTCTTAATCCTCAGAAACACGGTTTACCAGCCTCACCGAGTTTCTGGACAATTTATTCTGTGACATGTGATACATAAAACGGCGAAACCTCACGCTCGCATGACTCCAAAAGGTACCTGACCAAAAGGTACCAAAACCATCACAAAGCGGACACCCACTTACTGTCAGTCCACTGGTTCTTTCAAAGATCAGAGAATTCATACCCCACCTCCATTCATCATCTCCGTGGAAATTAAAAAACACGGGAAAGCCCGGTGAATATTATTGCGTGTAGTTTTAAATAGGTGGGGAAATGTATGAAAAAAATCTGGGGCTTTTCGATGGCGTTCGCGCGTGTCAATCCTTCCAGGGATTAGCGGCTGCTTTTCTGAATGAGAAACAAGCATTTGGGGCCCGTCGGGGTGTCCCAAAAACACCAGGGGGTTGCGCCCTTGGGGACGAGAACGAGAAATTCGAGAGCTGGCACTGAGATTTTTTTTTTTCCTTGACAGAAACATTTTTTTTCTCATACCCGACGCAATTCATCAATTCACGCAATTCTATTGTGCGTTTTTTTTTCGTTTTAAAAATTATTTTGGACATCAGTCTATCGATTTCTCCATCTTCTCAGTTTATTCATGCTTCGAGGGGTGATTATCGCCGGTAATTATTCATCCGCAAGTAGTACGACCCGATGGAAAATTCGGGCCCATTTTTTCTGTCCTGACGGACTCAAAATAATTAAAGACGGTAATCCATCAAACGAACCGCGAACAAGCGGTCCGACCGAAAATATCGTGAAAGTCCGAAATGAAAATATCAATGGCCCCCGAAATTTGAGTGGCAAAATGTGGCCCAGAATTGCGAAATAACGGGCCCACAACGTTGGATTCGTCCCTGACGTATCGCGTTAGCCCAATCGTCGATTCCCTCTTTCTCAGACTCGTGTCTCAATCTGAACGCTCTCATCATGTTTTAATTTCACGGTTGGGACTCTCTCCAGCCTCATGGACCGCTTCCCCTACTCTACCCCCACCGCCAGTCGCGGGCCCCGAGGCATGGCCCCACCCACTGCTCTCCCCCACCACTTGTACGCCGGGATTCAGGCCCCGAGGAGAGTGGGGAGGTGATGCGTGGAAGGAAGATGGAGTCAGCGGACTGTTGATGGAGGAATGTGGACAGCATACGCATGGTAAACACGGGTTTATAACGCGTGTTGTGAGAGAGATATTCGTGGGTCTAGGAGATACTTCGATTACTTCTTTAGGCACCTGTGCCTCTAGGATACGTGACGGGGGGATTGAGTCTGATTTCTTCGGGCATATGAATGAATAATTCAGGCCCCCTTTCCAATTAAAAATTGTCGGACCTGCAGCGAATTTATTTAGCTCTCGGGGACTTGATTAACGCGAAATGCTCCTTCGGGGGGTATTTCTCGGTGTCGAATCGATGATTTTTATTTGGGACCAGACGTTCCATTATTTTGGGCCCTACTGAGGCGATCGAGTGGGGAATTAATCGAAGAGAGTTGCCGTTTTGGTTACGGAAAATTTTGGGCCTTGGGGCCCTCTAGCGGTGGTGAAGGTTAAGGATTTTTGGAAATTCATGGGAGCGGCTTGACTTTCGAGGGGGAATGGGGAAATCGACCTTTACGTTCGGTGGAAACTGTGAATTCTGGTTTTCTTCACCGGATATCGCAGCTGAAATTCTCTACTTTAACAACTGTTGATGAAATTCATTGTCTCCTTGAATTTACAGATATTTTTGATATTCGAATCGCGCTTGCGTTTAATATCCGTGCATCAAGTCAACAATTGCATAAATCTGAATAAATACTAGGAATTACTCCTATAAAAATAGTGACACGACTTACGTAATTTTTTTAAACTTCGAAAGAAAGATAGAATAAAAGAAGAATTAAATTAATCAAAAGAATAAAATCGCAAGTCTATCGACACAAATTATCCAATTAGTTATTAGACAATAGGTTGAAATGAGTAATTAGCTCGTTAATTTATTTGATTCTAATGAGTAGATGAAAACTTATTTTCATCTATCAATTAAATTCAATCTTTTTTTGGACTGATGGAGAGGTCCGCTACTCAGAACTCACAAAAATTGATTTTTTTAAATCGTTATAAACAATTTCTCAGTCTCTCACAATCTCACCTGCAGCATTCCCCTAGATTTATATTTAGAGGTCATCATATACCTATAGAACACACGTGTCGGACTTTGACTTCGATATGGAGTCGAATTACGAGGAGCAATGATTCAAAAATTTTCCCAAATGCACCATAAATTTTCATCTCAAGATAAAATTCATATCAACCCTTAACAATTGAGCATTACTATTAATTATATGATTATTTATAAATACGAATCGATTAAAACCCGATCGATAGATTCAAAAATCGGGCGCGTCAATCCACCCCGCGATACTGAATAAATAAATAAATAAATAAATAAATAAATAAGTAAATAAAAAACGCTAAAAAAATACCTCGGCATAATTGTTATTTTTTTGTTAGTTGCACTCTCTTCAATAAGTCGCACGTTTCGGTCATTCAATGAATTTCATTATTTTCCATTTTTCCCATGAGTTTGACTTCCATATTGTCCCAGTCTCTCCTAATCTAATCATATAAATTATTTTTAAGAACTCCAAACAAACTGCACATGCACGAGATGCATGAGACCCATGAGACGGAGTAAAGAACAAGCTCGATCAGCTGATTTCGATCAATGGAACAGCCATGACAGTTCAACAGGCACCTCCGGTGAACTTCGCGAAGTATCGGGACTAGTGGCGGGGGTACACGATTGACTTCGAAATCGAGAGAGTGGAGGGAAGTGCCGAGGACACCCGAAGGCCCCCGAATCGTCAGCTGCAGTTTGTAATTCTGAGGATTGTGTTCACAGTCACTGATTATTCCTATTTGATTTCAATCTGATAGCTCGAACTAACCAAAGAATTTTCCTCGACTCTGATTCGACTCAGGACAGTCATGGCATATCCCGAAGATCCACGAGAACTCTCTCTCCCCATTTTCATCGTATTTTTATCCACCAGTGTTTGTGTTTGACTCAAGACAGTGGGGGAACGTGAAAAAAAAAAACATCAAACAGCTGAAACACCCGTTACTGCAGTTTCAGTCGTCACTCATTTCAATTTTTATTCCCATCATATATATTATGATTTGGATTGTTGGATCGGGCGGGACACGTGTCGATGATGTGAGATATTTGGGACTGAATTTTGTTTAATCGGGGGTAATGGAGGAGTGAGGTTAATTGTGGATGGATGAGAAACGAGGAATTTGGAGGATTCGAGTGGATCAAGAACAAAGGATAAGATTTTGGTTTCTAGGGGTGACTGGATTTTTTTAGACCATGTCTTGGCTGTTTTGCTTTCCCTGGCCTGAGGGGATCAAGAAGAGAGCATGCAGGTACCTTTTGCAGCGGTATCTAGGACAATTTTTGGAGGAGAAACTCACACTCGATCAGTTGACTGTTGATTTGTATAATGGCACGGGAAGGGTTACCAATGTCAGCCTTGATGTTCAGGTGAGTTCCTTGAATTTGTTAATCAACATTCAGGAATTTTATAATTATCACAGGCAATACCAATTGCCAATTATCCAACATTTTTTCCATTATTCTATTATTTCTTCTCCGTAATCAGCTGTTCTGTCAAGGATGTTATTGTTTTTATTACGAAGACTACTTGTTCGCTGATAATTTTTTAGTGTTCTCATACTATTTTTTCTATTGGTATTTTATCCATTCACAACCATTTTTTCGTGAGGACTCAACAATTTGTGGATTGGAGTCACGTTGTTTTTTGTTCTTGATCAGTATTTTCTCTTGATTTTAATTGTTAAAGGGAAATATTCGTGAGGGGATGATGATTTATTTGTCTGGACGATTTTTGAGACGTAGAAACAATTTATTTGTGTCACTGGAATAATTAAAAAATTTCCATATTGTGGTTTTTCATAATTATTATTTTTTGCTGTCAAGATTTTTTAAAACTATTTCTATTATTATAATAATCATCCTATTTTTAAATGACAACATGAATTAATTGATATCAATGATTTGTTAATTAAGAAATATTCTCCGGGACAAAACGACATTTTATGTCAGTCAGGATAATTAGAATTTCGAACAATGGAAATTGTTCATTAATTATTTTCTTTGTTCTCTTCAATTATGTAAATTCGGCATGACGACGAGAATATATTAATCGTGATAGCGAGGTATTTACTTACGATTTAATTTCGACGTAATAACAATTTTTGATTTTACGCAATTAGTCTCTTACATTTGAAAATGTAATTTCGCTGCCTTCATATTGTAATTTACACCTGATGACATGTCACATGCCAATAATGACAGTTGATTTTTTTCTTCAAGACCTACTGAGCCAAATGACCCGACAAAAGACTCGTTGAACTTTCATATCAATTTCTCAGGCCCTCAACGAAATGGGAGAGCAGCACCACTTGCCTCTGGAGTTCGTGGACGGTTGTATATCAGAGATGTCCCTGAGTATACCCTGGTCAGCTCTCCTGAGTGAAGCCAGCTACGTCGAGGTGAAGGGTCTCCGGCTGACTGTACAACCTCGCCAGAGGACAGAGACTGGCACCTCGATGTTCGAGTCGATGTGGAGTTCCATGACATCCAGCATGCAGCTGGCCCAGGAATGCCTGCAACAGGATGCTAACAGTGCAGAGAATTCACAACCCCTGGAAGGGGTCGAGTTGTTCGCTCAGACTATAGACTCAAGTAAATTTTCACCCCGAAGATCTATTCCCTGCAATTATTTCAATCACCAATTATTAATAATTCAAATATTCCTGAATTCTCTAATTTCTCTGATTCCTCATTTCCCTTTTCTTAATTATTCAGAACAATTAAATGATTTAATTATCCCCTTTCAGTACTCTCCCGAGTAAAAGTGAGATTCCTGGATACTGTGATACGTCTGGAGCACGTGCCCCTGGAGTCGTCGACAGGAGTAGCACTAGAGATGTGCATAAGAAACCTAGAATATTCGGATGAGGCAGGTTCAGATCCATCGACGCTCACCCCCGACCCAAACCAGCCCTCAAAGGGGTACATTGTCTCTGCCTTCACCACAAAACGTTTTTACCTTGAGGGAGTGACTTTCCACATCGACGAGTTCCCATCACGAGCTCGAACCTTCTCCAGGAGTGTAATGACAACCTCGAGATGCTCGACCCCAGACAATTTTTCATCCGCTCAAATATCACCCTCGATGCACACACCCCCAGAGAAGAGCCTAATCAACAACTTGAGCCCCTCGAGTCCCATAATCTGTGCTAAACTCACAGGAAGACAGGAGATCCGCCTGAAATTGAAACAAGGAGAGGGTGTCTCTGGGCCAAAAGTGGAGCTGGAGGTCACCCTGGGATCTTTCATAAGTTTTCTGAGTCCTAGACAACTGCACGTCCTCCTGGAGCTCTGCCATGGGCTCGCCTCCCCAGACCTAGAGGACATGTCGAACGTCGCACCTCGTCCTTGTGTGGAACAACCCATGGCAGGGGCTGATTTCTCCAGGGTCGAGCGAGAGTTGATACGCCAGCTGAAACCGATCCCAGGGGTGAAGCCTGCAGATCTAAGGAATACCCAGTGCTGGTCGACTGCCTCTCTCGAGGACTCTGACAACGAGGAGGAGTTCCTCCCCATGAAACTCCCAGGGATGTCTGATTCAGTCTCCACAAATGCAGTCAGCATGTCCGAGAGCACCATGAGTACCAGCTCGAAGAGTTCTGTAAACGTTTCGCGTCCCCACAAGCACAGGACGAACGCCGAGACAGATCCCAGTGCTGAGACGTCTCAATTTCACGTTCGAGTATCATCGATAGCTATCGTCCTCCTCCACGAGGACATTCTCACCCTGGGGATTGAGTCCAGGGGCCTGACCAGTGCCAGCATCGAGCAGATGAGGACGACGTCAGAGAACTTCTTCGAGAGTTTAGGAATCTTCGCTGCAGACTATGGGAACAAGAACTTTGAGAGAGCTTCGACGATGTTCCTGAAGGCCTGTGATTTGAGTCACGTGAGAGTGCTAGCAGCTCCCCTGGTCATCGAGGGTTCGGAGAAGACGACGTCGCAGGCCTCGGCCATCAGTGCAAGCCTCACCCTGGCGAGTCTTGAATTGATAGAGTGCCTCATAGACTCGAATAAATCTAATGACAATCATAATGTCGAGTTTGTCGAGCTTCTCACCTTCTCCAGGGCAGAGCCCCAGGGCTTCTCCAATACTACAAACTTCAGGATGAGATTTAAGTACTCCGAGAAGGCCGTGCGTCACGCTCAGATGACGAAATTCGCGCATCCCAGGACAGAAATTGAGATAACACTGGAGCCCTGTAGATGTGAATTAGACGTAACGATCGTCGACAGGATTTCAGCTGTCCTCAATCCCCAACCCATCTGCATCAGCAATCCTCCAACACGTGCTAGAGACATGTGGAACCAGCAGACGATGTTCTATCAGGCTGTTGAGAGCCCCATAATCTCGGACTCCAGAACAGACATCACGGTTTCATCTTCGAAGATGACAATTAAACTGAGATTTCCTGTTCCTGATTTGCGACCTCTCCATGACATGAGCAGAGCTCCCTGGTGGACACGATCTGTCAGACCTGACTTCATCACTCTCACCCTGTACAACGCACAAGTGCACACCTCGATGGAGAGCAAGAGCCATCACCTGACGAGGCACGAGATCCAGTGCAAAGATCTTCTGGTTACTTACACAGAAATTGATTCAGACACACCGATAGAGATAGGAAGGAGTCAAGTCGACGAGAACACTGATGGCTCACTCCAGCATAATGATAACCAGTTCGGCTGGCCCAGGATCGTGATAACCCTCTTTCCCCAGCACCTGGGTGGCCCCCTGGAGGACTCTTCGGAGGAGGAGCCCAACTCGAGCTTCGACGAGGCCCTAAATCCCCCCAGGCATCAACCATCTCCCTTCAGCTCCAAGAGAGTTATCCACGAGTCCGACACACCCCACTCAGAATCTGAATCATTCAATATGGATGAGGAACGGAGGGAGGGAGAGGAGCTCGTGATACCGGGTAATCGCCAGGAGATGCTGGAGTTCATCGAGGAGGGCACCCACGGCTCTAAACTACAGATTGAGATAACTCTGCCCTGTTTATCAGTTCAAATTCCCTCTAAACATCTATACGAGCAGCTGTACAATAGAATTAACACTGATATCTTTTTGTGGGAGCCATCAGCACCACGACCAGCTCATCAACCCGAGCCCAATGTCGGCCTAGACCTGGCATCTGCATTATTCCAGGAGTCTATTTACCCAAAATTCAGTATGTGCAAGAGTGGAATTCATTGTGACTCCGATGTCGATTCAGATGAGGATGGGGTGTACCACTCGACGGACAAAAGCTTTCAGAATATGGGAAAATCACCCAAGAGTGGACAGACGAAGATGTCCCTGACGTTGAATATACCTCAGGGTTTACTGAGTATGTACACACCAGTTCGTGACGGATCGTCGAATGTGATACCAGGACAGCAGGGGGAGTTGATCCTCAGGGTGGAGGATGCAACGATATTCTGTGTGAATTCTTACAAAGGTGATTCCAATCTCGGGTACGTCTGCACGATGGTGAAGACAGTGGGGCTGAATCACTGTGGACTCATCACAATTCCCTCCCAGACACCTCCACTGAGATCCATCAACAGTGTGATACCTAGACACTGTCAGCCATTGATTTATAGAAGCAGGGAGGGCACTGATCAGCTAGAGAAGGACATGCTGACTGTGGCTGTGAGAATTCAGGCTGCCCACCAGACACACCACATCAAAACCTTCAGAGTGGCTGTTGGCATCAGGAATGCCACCCTCAGGCACAGAATGTGCACCTCCCAAACATCCTGGTTCTCTCAGTTCATGGATTGTCTCGATGTTGTAGATCATCCTGTCGCTGGGTACTCACCACCTGGAGTACTCACTGAACTCCATCTTCATCTGTGGAATTGCGCTGTTGATTACAGACCTGTGTACCTGCCAATGAGGTCCATGCTGACGTTGGGGAGCTTCAATGTGTCCTCGAACATCGCTGCCAAGACCAATACGTCGACCTTGAGATTCATTGCTGAGGATATTGCTCTGTTTATCTCGGAGAAGCTGGGGAATAACGTGGACTTGAGGAGGGATTACGTTTGTGTTATGGATTTGGGCCTTTTTGAATTGTCGTTGAGGTTGAACGAGAAGATGTGTGGCGGTGGTCCCAGGGTGGATCTCCGGGCGAGCAATAATGTCCTGCACATCAGAACCTGTGCAGACTCAGGACGAGCCCTCACACAATTGCTCACGTACTTTGCAAATGACGGGGACATGGCACCGAACACAGTCTCTACCGAAAGCATCGCAGTGCCGTCCTCTGGGGATGAGGAGAGTCTCCTGGGTGACGACAGCATAAACACCCTAAGCAAGAGCCAAGAGGAACGAGTGAATAGCCTGATGGAGGAGGCAATGGAGGACACAGTCAAGGGTTCTCCATCACTCGAGAAGAAAGAGCCAAAATCCGAGTCCAAGGTCGAGGTATTTTTCTTCCCAGACGAGTCCCATCCGGTTCTCTCCTCAGAGATGATCAACGACGGTTGCACTGGTCTTAAGCACTCGGACTCAGACCCTGACGAGGACTTCTGCATTCTCGGAGAAGAGGCTGGAGCTGGAATAATGCCCAGGCACGGGGTCCCAGAGGTTCGCTGGCTATCCCAGGACTATATCAAAGTCGTGGACAGTCACTTCTCAATTCCACTGGGAAAGACAGACCTGCTGAAGGCCCCCAAGTCCTTTCCCCCAGCGATCCTGAGGTACACGTTATGCGAGATGACTCTTATCTGGCACATGTACGGTGGAAAGGACTTTGGCAAGCCCCAGCCATCGAAAAAACACGTCACCATCGACGACTCCCATCACAAGGAGTGCCTCGCACTGGGCAGAAGCGGATCTGCTGTCGTTGGATTCAGCAAAATGTCACCGAATGAAATAAAATTTGGCTCAGCCCCCAATTCCCCCAGAAAATCTAAATCCCAGTCCAGTGATTGGTGGACAGTGGGGGGTCCCGAACGTCAGCACGACGTCCTCATGGAGCTCCAGCTCAACAAAGTACGTTTCCAGCACGAATCATACCCAGAGAATACCCCTGAGGCCTCGAGGCAGGTCCTCCTGGTCAGTGGAATCGAAATAAGGGACAGGCTGGCATCATCCCATATCAATAAATTTTTGTATCAGTACAGCAGCGAAGCCAGACCCAGACAGACACACGCCAATATGTTTGCTCTCAAGGCTGTCCACGTGAGACCTGATCCAAAATTAAATGCTCAGGAGTGCTGCCTGAAACTCAGTCTTCTGCCACTTCGCTTGAACATCGATCAGGACAGTCTTCTCTTTCTCATTGATTTTTTTACTGAACTAGCTGGTAGCCCCAAGGCCACACCGGAGACGATCAATGGCCCAGGGAATACTACGTCATCACCAGGATCAAAACAAGGAACTCCAACTCATCATCCACCAGTGATGAGTGTTAATGATGGAGAGGGTGAGGTAGCGGAGGATGAAGTGGTCAAGGAAGCAGACTTTGTGGATCAGAATCTCATGATTCTCCTGGAGGACGAGTTGATGATCAAAGAGAGCAAGCAGAAAGTGAAGAAATCGAGAGGATGTCAGGAGGACTCTAAGCCAATTTATTTCAGGAGTGTTATCTTTGCACCTGAGGTGTTTGTGAGGCTTGATTATCATGGAAAGAGAGTGGATCTTACTCATGGGCCCATGGCTGGACTGCTGATGGGCCTTGGTCAGCTCAATTGCTCGGAGCTGAGGCTCAAGAGGTTGACTTATAGGCATGGACTCCTGGGGTTTGAGAAGCTCATGGCTTATCTGCTTTCTGAGTGGCTGCAGGATATCAAGAAGAATCAGCTGCCCAGTTTGCTGGGGGGTGTGGGACCCATGCACTCGTTGGTCCAGCTGTTTCAGGGGATCAGGGATCTCTTCTGGATGCCCATCGAGCAGTATCAGAAGGATGGGAGAATTGTCAGGGGCCTGCAGAGGGGGGCCAATAGCTTTACCACTTCCACCGCCATGGCTGCACTCGAATTGACGTCCCGGCTTGTCCATGCTATTCAGAGCACTGCCGAGACTGCTTATGACATGGTCAGTCCTGGGCCCAGTGTCACGAGGAAGAGAAAGGGACAGAAGGGCAGGAGGAAACGATATAGCCAGCCACTCGATATCAGGGAGGGCATGGCCAATGCTTATATGCTAGTCAAAGAGGTAATTAAAGACTTTTAATTATATCTTGAAAATTGTATTCGAATGGTACGGGGATACGTCGTGAATCATTTTAAATAATTTCGAAAAATTTCTTATAAAATCCATAATATCCTGATAATATTCTCATAAATACTTATGTATTTAATTTTCATGTACAAACTCATTAGATATATTGTCCAGAATAACAAAGAATAATTGGAAATGATAGAAAATGGAAATCTTGTAAATTTATATCGATACTGAAGTGACTAGAGTCAATTATATGGAAAGAAAAATTGATTTTCACGTGTGATGATTATTTTCAGGGACTGGGTGAAACAGCGAATCAACTGGTGCAAGTAGCAAGTGAGGAGCACCAGCAGAAAGGCGTATCTGGAGCTGTTGGTGGTGTTTTGAGACAAATTCCCCCAACAGTTGTGAAACCGATAATACTAGCCACCGAGGCGACTAGTAATGTCCTGGGGGGAATGAAATCACAATTGGTGCCAGATGCGAGGCATGAAGCAGCTCAGAAGTGGCGACAGGATCCTCGGGACGTCAATTAGGGCGAGCAACTTTTTTTTTATTCGCATAAAACGAAACAATTAATCGATCACTCGAATCGCGCAAAGAATGGGATTTAACTCAATGTCAATTTTATTTTCTATTCGAGATGGGAGGCGATAGATTTAATGCCAATATCCAACGAATTCGATTTTTTGCGTGAATGCCATAAATTAGTTTCGTTAATTAGAGTAAGGTGTGGTGCCAGGGGAGAATTCGCCCACAAACTTCTGAGGTAAGTGCAGTGATTGAATTTTTTGGGATACGTTGAACGATGGAGATGATTTATATTTGTAGAGTTTAATGGAGATGAATGATACAGCTGTAATGTATATATTATCATCACTCGTAAGTATTTTTGTTCTAACGATGTTTTTTATCAGTGATATATATGTAATGAGACAATTTTTTTTATTAATAAACGTATGCGCAGTTCAATCAAAAATTGTCACGGAATCTCGGTTAAATTGCGTCATATTCTGGGAGTTTTCCAGAAATATTTTATCTAACTTTTGTTTATTAATTTTTGCAGAATTTTAGAGTTTTACATCTCAATATCTGTCTCAAAATTTCTCGTTTTTCAATCATTTCCATATTTTGATTCTCAGTAATTCGATTCCAAATAATTCTTCAATTCAAAGAGGTTAAGCCAACACGTCTAATATTAAATTTCAATATCATAGGCACGAAACACAAGAAAAATGACGGAATCGTCAGAACTTCTTTTCCAATTACAATATTTACAAGAATTTAAGTTTACAAATTATTTAATTCGTTCTGTTGCTCTCAATTTCTTCGAATGGAATAAAATTCTTTCTTTAAATTCAATTATATATCTGCAAGAAAAGCAAATAAAAATTTAATCTACAGAATCCCGCGGTTTGAATCCTGTGCCGGACGGTGGCGCCATCTGCGCGCGACTTTCTAAGTTCTCCACAAGATGGCGGATGTAGAGCATAAATGGCCGCCATAGCAACGCGTATTTGCGGTCGAGGTGTTATCAATCGCGATATCAACAATCAGAGTGTTAAAACGCCTTCCTGACCCTCTGTCCATCACCCTGGGCCGTTCCTCCTCGATTTTCATCTGACAAAACAATAAAAACCATCCATAATCAACAATGCAGACGATTCAAGAGGACATGAGAACTTGCCAAGAAACATTCGAATTTGATGGTGAAGGGGAGGAAGGCGGAGAACCACTGGAATTCCCTCCAAAATTTGGGTACCAGTACAAAGATCTTCAGGATGTGGAGAAGGCTCTCGGCCTTATACGATTATCCTGGCCGGAAGTGGAACTCGAGGACGAGAGGCTGGCATCTCTGCCACCCAGTTATCAAACAACAACTGAGAAGGAAAAACTTCTACTCTGGCATGCGGAAAACTTCCGCAAACAATTCCACACCATCTACAGGGACCGACGACCCCTCCTCCTCGTCTGTGATAACGAGTGCGGCATTCAGGTACCCACCCCCTTTATGATGATTAATGATGTGATTGAACTTGAACTCGTTGAGTTGGGAAAATGGGGAACTATGCCTTCGGTAAACACGGCTTTATCGCTTGAATCTGAGGATTTAGGGGAAAGTTAACTTGACCTTTTTTATGGGGAATTTAATTTCCTACAAAAAACGTTCTATGAACTTTTCGTCTTTTGTTGATGGCCGTGGAGATAATTAGCAATGAATGAGGTGGGGGTATTGCGGAAAGAGACATCTGATTTATTCATGTCCTGTTGTAAATGTGGATTTATCTCGGGTGTCAAAGGATTTAGACGAAAGTTTACTCGACCTTTTTTATGGGGATTTTAATTTCCTAGAAAAAACGTCTTATGAGTTTTTTAGCTCGTGTTGATGGTTGAGGATATTTGATTTATTCATGTCCTGTGGTAAATGTGGATTTATCTCGGGTCTCAAAGGGTTGGGGGAAAGTTTACTCGAATTTTTTTGTGGCGAATTTATTGCCGCAGAAAAGTCTTGAGTCTATTTCAAGAGATAATTGGTCTTGATTGGAATGGAGGTGTAACAAACTAGATGGTGAAAAATGAGTTTTGATAATTTTTCAAGTCTCTCTTTAATCTCTTCGATATCACGAGAAAGTCATGAAAATCCTTGGACATTGTTTCGTAATCCAATTTGTACGGGAGATAAGTTCACCATTAATAAAAAAAGACTCCTCCATTCATGAAATTCTTCCTAATTGATTGCGTGATTATCTCGAAATGGAGGGGTTCATAGCAATGTCAAGAATTTTCGGCCGTAGAGAATGAAATTCCCCACTCATTACCCCGATAACTCCTCAATTACAAAATTACCCCAACGAGAGTGAGAATCATACAAAAGTGAATAGGAAAAGGAGTACAGGAAAAAAAAAGTAAACCAGAATTTAAATTTCATTTTTTTAATATCTCATATTCAATAAATGTTCAATTAAATAATCTTCAATGACTTTCACATCGTACAAAGGCATATTCGTATAAAAATTGTGGGTTAAACCAAAGGGAAATCTAAAATGAACCGAAATAAACTCCAATTTCTATTCTACTGCATCGAATCCAGAAAAAAAAAACAAAATGAACAAAATAACTGAGGATTGACAGGAATGTTTGAAATATAATAATATCATTGCGACTCAATCCTTCCGATTTTTCATTAACACACGATAAATTTAACTGCAGTTCATGAAAATTTCATCTATTACACTCAAACATCTGAAACATTCCCACTAATTCATCTCTTCTAAATGATAAAAATAAACTTCACTATACATTTATCCATACATGCCTTTATATGTAACTACATTGTGTTATGCGCATCGTTTTGTCATTTACTAATTATCTAACATCGTCGTCAACTCCTGGAGCTCACTCAATGAATTTTCACGAGTGCAGTTATGTTTTTATGTACAAGCCATCCAGAATGGCACTTATCGCTTTGGTTTTAATATCAATCATAAATTATATCTATTCATTTAAACTCTCAAATTCTCTCCTACACCAGGTACTTGTCACCTGGTTATTCTCTCGATTCTCCAGTAAACTCCAAAAAATCATTTATTCAACACTTTAATTCATTTTAATTCGGAAAATTGCTTTGGAGACTCGATTAATAACCGTGTGACGAGGGGCCCAGAGTATAAAATAATCTCGACGTCGATATTCACTTTGATACAGTTATCATATTAAACTTTGTTCTATCTAAAAAATTTTCAAAGCCCATCACACAAACGCATCGATACATTATTTACACAAAATATTATTTTCCCTTGCGAACAACAATTTACATTTTCAAGTAGAATTAATTCGGCGTTTAAGCGTTGAGTGACGTCGAGGGTCGAAGTTTCAATTAACTTATGACGTTCATTATGAACTAATTACATTGGTTTTTGTTTCAATTTGTTTTTTTTTCTTTTTTTTCATTATTTTCTCTGGTTTTCTTTTCTAGAAATTTGTATCGACGAATATAAAACCGAGTACGCTGTCATATCCACAGCTTCACACGTGGCTGGGCTGCGCCAAATTCGTCAGCGATCATCTAGCCTACGAACCGCTGAGCAAACCCCTGGCACTGGTGAGTGACCCATCATGGGTTTTTATTATCTCGGGGCAAAATTTCTCATTCTCTTTACTCTAAATTACAAGTGCAGCGTCATTATATCGCTCGTAACACGATAACTATCGGTACCATTGAAAAATATCAGAGGAATTATTTGTCGAGAATTTCATAATCTACATGAAATCCCAATGATATTTTCGTCAAGCGTCGATAGGTCTCGCGATATTTTCTAAAATCCCCCACACGCTCATTCCTCTCTAAAAAATCGAGAAAACCTGCGAACTATTATATACCGTCAACAATCGGACTCTGAAAAATCTAACAACAATAATGCGCTGCAAAAAATCCCTCGAAATCTGAGAAATTCCCCATTTAATTAGCGAAATGACAAATTGAGATCAAACATTTAAACTCGCAAATATCGATTTATCCCCAAAACTATTGATTTTCCGTGAAAAACCCAAGAGATCTTTTCAATGAAAAATGAAATCGGCTATAAAAAAGTCCCTCGAAGTATTTCCCTGAAACGATCAGCTTTCGAGTTAAATCAATAATAAACGAAAATCGTCGATTTATTCGAATTGACCACTTCGCAACAGATTTATCGATAAACCCAATTGATTGACAAGGTCCTCCCCCCGCCCCTGAAGAACTTCTGTAATCCCCGTAAACTACTGATATGAAGCTTTGGACCGGTAATCGACCCCTCAGGTCCCTCACTCGACATTTGGTATTATAATCTTATATACAACTGTCTTGACTCTCCCAAATAACTCCCATCACAGCTTACATTCTACTCTCCTCGATGGCAGTTGTCTTCTTTCTGTGTGTCTTGAGAGTATCAATGAGATACTTAAGCTGAATGATCTTGGATCTGCATACAGCAGGATCACTCCGTTTCTCAAGCCACCGAATAAATTGCTCACCATGCTCAATAGCTTCCTCGCTGCTCATCTCCTTCTCCTCGATTCTATCCTCACCCCGATTGAAGCAGTGTCGTAAATTTTCGTTATTGTTATTATTATTACACAAGACATTATCGAGATGTGCACGTGTCTTGGTTGGTGATTTTTTGGCAGCATTTGGTGATGCACCAGATGGACCAGATGCACCAGAGGGTGCTGATGCACCAGTAGATGGTGCTGGTAGGGCTGTTGGTCCGTGAAATAGTGTGTACCACTCCCAGAACCAGCAGGCATCCTGTAGATTTTTACTGACACTGACTGATGCTGTTTGTGGTCCAAGTAGTTCTTTCTGCTGTTGTAGCCATCCCCAGAGAGCTTCGTCCTTCTCTTTGTTAGCTTTTCTCTGCTCTCGTTGCTGCTGGAGCTGTTGCTCTCGTGTCAGCTGTGGCTGTGGTGATTGTTGTGGTGGTTGTGGCTGTTGTGGCTGATGCGATTGCTGTTGGGGCAGTGGTAGTGACAGTGGCAGTGGCTGATGCTGCTGTGACTGCACTTGCTGCTGCTGTTGTACCTCATTTGTCATATCCCTTGTACCACTCTCATTGATATTCCTTGGTGATGCTGGAAGTGGTGTGTGGGGTGCCTCAGCAGCTGGTGGAAGGCTCTTTCTGTATGACTTAACAGCCTCCATGTGAGCTGGTGCAATAGCCGATGTACTGTGCCTCTTCGTAGCACTAGCATCTCTTCTCGTGTACTGCAGCCCATTCTCCACTAAACCCACTGCATTGTGAACAGCATTGTGGGGTAAAACTGGCATGTTGAGGAGACCTTTGCCGAGGGGATTGGCAGCTGACAGTAAACCCAATTGTCCGAGATGACCTAGCATCAGGGCGCTGTTCTCTGGCCTCATACCCGCCATTGTCGTCATCAAATTGGCAAAGTACTCCATTCTTGATGCCTCACTCATTCTTGCATCGTTTTCCGAATTTTCACTTGAGTATGATGAACCAGCTGCATCAATTTTTACCCTCTTTACCACTGGTCCCTCCTCCTCGCTTGAGTGATTATTCAAATTGAGGGGTTGATTTGCACCCGATGATGACGCGGGTGAGTGTGCCTCGCTGTCTGGTGTCGATGAATTTCTTGCCATACCCCGAATTTTTTGCTCGGATTTACACCAACCCCTCAGTGTTGACTCCGGTACACCGATATCACGGGCAACTGATGCTTTACTCTCACCCTCGTGGACACGCTGTATCGCCTCCATCTTCTCCGATGCCGATAGGGCACGCAGGGGACGCTTCCCAGGTCGAGCCGATTCACCTCTCATTTTAACGATTTTTAGTCTTTTTCGGGGTAATTAATAGATTTACACGCACTTTATTGTTTCAATCAACCGGTGGAGGCGCCGGTTAAAGAGGTTGAGCGCCGTTGGAATAGCACATGCGCTCCGGTGTAATAAAGTGTTAGTTTTTTTTTTTTCTTCTCTCTTTTTTATGAATGAAACAACTCCCACCAGTTGGCACAGAGTTCTCACCCGACTCTTGTTGTTCTCGATGCGCGGGAAAATAAATTACACTAGTTCCAGTTGACCGTCGAAAATTATTTTTATTTATTTTGTTCACTTAACCCACGACTTCGAATCACACTGCGGCTTCACTGATTAACTATCACTCGATGATAAGATTGACTATTTTGCTTATTTTTTTTTCGCTCACTTCCCTTTTTTTCTCCCTGGGTTTTGCGTCTCTTGGTGGTGAAATAAATGAGAAAACGAAAAAAATAATAATAATTGATTAAAACGACGGATTATCTTTGGCACTGGTTAATCACGATAAAATCCGCAAGGTCCAAGTCACATCGCAACGTGAAATTGAGTATCCAAAAATCCTTGGGGTTTAACCACTCACTCGAAAACAAATGAAATTCCAGGTATACTGAGACGATGTATTTTCGGTTACCGGTTTATTGCCGGACGGTGTATATTGTAACCTTGCGGTTGTTCAAAGTGAACTGAAACTCCAAGAGGCGAACTGGTGACTCTTATAGCCCTCCCTTCTCACTGCTTTCGGCACGTAAACGTGTCCAATCCCCCACTCCACTTATTTCCTCTCCCCTCAGTACCCCACCCCTTTTTGTATTCCCCTCTTGTACTGGGACGTATCGGCAAATCACTCGGCCAATCGCCCCAACTCCTCCCCCCTCCACCCACTGGGTCCGTTTTATTTCGGAATAGCCAGTGAAAAATTGAATACCTCGTGCCACCGATTATCAATCCAATAGATCCGCAAATTCTCCCTCCGATCTATTTTCTCTCTCTATCTCTGATTTTTCTATTTCTTCTCTATTCCGCTGTTGCCGTTGTTTTTTTATTTTATTTTTCCCTGAATTCAACTGGTCCTGCAACGTCCTCCGTATTGTTTCTTCAGATCAAATATTCTCCGTTTTATCTCTCTAATTTTCCCTCGTGTCGCCGAGTGGTTGTTTGTGACTTTTTTTTTTTAGTCTCTGGGGTTTAGGCGATTTTATTTTATTTTTTCTTTATCGTACGTGGAGACGAGAGATTAGAAGTTCACGCGACGAATCGCGACGCTCAACTGTGGCCGAGGGACGCCAGCTTTCCGCGGACTCGCGACGCCGCTCGCCGCCTCGTTCCTCTGGGGGGGCAGAAGGGGGGAGTAGAGGGAGAGGGGGCATCAGGAGGGGGTAAAAGAGGGGATTTCACTGGTCTTGTCGTCGTCATCGACTCCGAGGGGTCTCTGTCTCGCTGCCGTGGTTGCCTCGTTTGATGCCTCTCGTGCGTCCGAACTGGCCTCACCCCATCCCCCTCTTCAACAACTCCCCTCTGGGGCTTTGGGCTCTACGTGTTTATTCTCCCTCTCTGTCGTTTCCCGTCGCGTTCTAACCCCTCGTTTGTGCAACGCCGTCGACTCGAATCCATCTCCCCCCTCTGGACTCCCCCCTCGCGGCTACCACCCACCCCCCCTCTGTCCTCTCCCCCTGTTTCTCTTACACAACCGCGAGTCCGAGGAACCGACGTATGTCTCGACGCCAATCATTCCTTTTTTTTTTTCATTTTCATTTTATTTTGTTTATGGTTTTTTTTTTTAAGGGGGTGGGGGGCCCTTTCTGAGGGTTTGGGATATTTCTTGGAGGGGAGGGAGATGGGATTGTGCTGATGAGGTTGATTAATACGAGGGCGACAGAGGGATTGAGAGAGTGATGATCTTGGGGGAGGGAATGCTCGGGGTGAGACTTTTGGGGGAGGGAAAATTGATTTGTTTTGGGAGGGCAATTTTTTTATATTTTTGATGGGAGTGACTCGGCGAGGGTCTTGGCAGAATCTAGGGCAATTTTTGGGGGTTGGGAGAATGGAGAGGAAATTGGGGTGGGTTTCGAGGGTTGGAGAAATTTTGGGAGATTTTTTTTATGCAGAATTCTCGTTTTTTTCTTTCAATGAGAATTTTTTATTTTCATATTTAGTTCTATCGATTAAATAAGATTCAATTTTTTCATTCAGCTATTCCGTGAAAATTATGTAAAATCAGGAGTATCCGGGAAAATTGAAAATTCAGGTGATTCTGATATTGAATTTTTGTCTTCCACTGAAAACTCATGAATTAATTTGAATTGCCGTCAGCTATTCCCCAAATTTTCGTGAAAATTTAAACAACATTATCTTAGAAGCAAAAAAATATTTCTGATTCGAGAAGCCAATGTTTTCCGTGATAATCCACTATGTACTATTTTCACTACATATTTATTTACATTGAAAATGGAAGACAAGAATTTTTTTCGAAGTCGTTCTGAAATTTTTCCCCGGACTGTCAAGTGGCATTCACTAAAGCCGTCAAAGTTATTGACACCAATAGCGAGATGACAACTAATAAATAATAACAATGAAGTTGAAGTATTATGGGAACAATTGGTGGATGGGGCTATTGAATCCGTGCGAATTTTCAATAGAATATTACGAGTTTCCAGGTAAATCGAGGAGACTAGTCTAATTTATTTGAGGCGACGGCTGGAGTTCATTGAGAGAAAGAGTTTGGAGATTTTATTTCAATGGTCATTGTATAATGTAACCCCTGGTGCACGTGCTTTGGTCTCTGT